ATATATATATATATATATACATATATATATATATATATATATATATATATATATATATATATATATATATATATATATATATATATATATATATACATACATATATATACAGTAAAATCCCGTTAAGTTGGACTCTCAATGGGAACAGATAAATAGTACGACTTAGGGAATGTCCGAGTTAAGCGTAGCTCTTGGTATTGATAGAACGTTCAAAGAAAATTGAAAAATTTCCCAATTTAGTAAAAGGGGCTGTCCATAATTGATGTCAGTAATTTTTCTCAGTTTTTAACCCTCCCCTCTTTGTCAAACTCTGTCAATTTTTGGTAAAACCCCCCATATATTTGATGCCAGATTTTGTACCCCCTCCAACCCTAAAGTAACATTAAAAATATGTGTAAGCACCATTGATTTTTTCTGGTTAAATTATACATTTATATCTCAGCATATTATATTATAGAACAGTTGATACCTCATCAAATAGTAAACAAACTAATGAAAATTTTATTTTATATCTATAATATAAATTCAATCCCTCATCGTCTTCCCATAAGTTGTTGAAGTGTTCTTCGATAATAATGACAAATGACTTTATGTGTTTGCTTTAAAACACATTTTAAAATCCATTGGGATCAAATAATGATTGTTAAATTTACGTACAAATTGTTGATATTTGTAAATAATTAGATTTTCAGTCAAATGGTAATACAATAGTAAAACGTTGGTAAATTTTTAATTTATGCTATCTCTCTAGGAAACTTACATCGAACTCCCCGCAAAGCTAATGTGCTATTTCTATACCGCATTGTAAATGTAAATACCTTTAAAATCATTATTATTATTCATTCTGAATAGCTTCTACACGTGGAAGGCAATAAAATCCTATTGGTTTCCCATTTGCGTTTTTAGAATGTCTTTTCATTTTAAAATCTAGGATAACTTAAACTAATAATTTAAACTTTTTTCTGATTAAAAAACACAAACAGAACAGGTTTAAGATACATTAAAAATGTTTAAACAAAGCTACCATTTTTATTTTTTCCCTACAAATAGACCCAGGTTTCTGACGTGAATTTGGCAAATAAACTTGAATATTTTTTTCTTAAATGGACATCATTTTGGTCTCAACACCCCCTCCCCAATGTCAATTCGTCACCCCATCCCCATTGCCACCCCTCTCCATTGTCAAACTTTTTAGTACCCTCTTCTTCTTATATTTCCTGACATCATTTATAGATACCCCCAAAGTCCTACTTATCCAGGGACCAAGATAACGGAATTCTACTGTATAAAATACAGAGCATAAGTCAACTTTTTATTTTTCTTATACCCATTAACCTTTAGTAACGCTCACACTTATAGAAGTTATTGAAATAGGCATATTTTATTAGAAATATGCTTAAGCTTAAGCATATTTTTGAGCCTCTTTTTACTTTTTGCTTATTCGAACCTGTTTCAATAATTTCATATGCTTTAAAAAAACAAAACATGTATATTCACCCCCATCATTCTCACTTTTACTATACATAATGAGTTTAAAAAACATCATTATATATATTAATTATGGCAGGTTTCGAAAGTTTGTTTCCGTTAAGAACTCTTTCGTATGTTGTGATGCAAAATACTTTCGTTTCGAAAGAAATTTTGTTTTTTATCAATATTTCTAAAATAAAACCATAAAAATTTAATATGTTATTATACTGAAAATAAAAATTCATTATAAACATTTTGGAATTTAAAGATGTTAATTTTTACAATTAAAATCAGTCTGGCAAACAAATTTTCTTTATAGACTTCAAAACGTTGTTTGTCGAAAATGCTTGTTTCGCAAGTGCAACTTCCGAAACAGCTACTTTCGTATGTTGCAAAATAGTTTTATTTCGTATGTCAACTTGCGAAATGTTAAATTTCGGAAGTAGCATTTGCGAAATGAACATGGACAATTTTAAATGTTTTGTAATACTCTGTACAAAAAAAATGTAAATTCTTGTTCTCAATCTTCTTACGAAAGAATGTTGTTTTTCCGGAATTGCACGAAATCCTCCGGAAAAACAACATTCTTTCGTAAGAAAAGAATGTTGTTTTTCCTAATTTTTAACAACCCTAATTTAAATCACTATTCTGTGGTGATACTTTTACATTGCAGACATAAATTATATTTATTAATATAATACTAAATTATATTAATAAATATAATTACATAAATAATATTTATTAATATAATTTACGAATAGGGTGGAACCTTAAAAAATATCTGACCTGTGTTAAAAATATTAACAACTTGTATAGAAGACAATATTAGGGAGAAGGTATTTGTGCCAGCTTTCTCCCTAAACAATCAGCAATAGTGTTACCTAGCATATGCTCAGACATTAACAACGTTCTAATTCACTTCCAACAAGGCTGCAAAACCACTATTAAGTTGGGAGTATATACACCACTATTAAGTTAGAAGTATATACCACTATTAAGTTGGGAGTTACTAGGAAAAAAATAGAGTTATAGTGAAATGAAATGTTTGACAGAAGACCTAAAAATTTTAAGGTTCTATAAATCAGAAAAACATGAAGATGGAAGAAAGTTCCAAAGGGTTGAAGTGCAAGGACAAAAACTAGACAAATAAAAGCTTTTAAAGCATGCAGGGACAGATACAGTAAAAGAATGAAACTTTGCTGAATGGCGAGTCAAGTGAGAATGAGTTTAAATTCGAATTCGAATTTATATAGACTGGAGAATAGGCTATAGAACTTTTGAGTATATTTGGTAAATATACTTAAATATAAAGAAATCCCAAAGTATTTCTAGAAGTTGAAAAATTAAGACTAATTCAAACTATGAAAATATCTTCCATAAAGTTGTCTTCTATTTCAAGCTTTAATTTTTACAGATTCATGATCATTAAACCAGATGAATGAGAATCTTAATGAAGCAGTTTTACAATCTCAATTTTAAAATGAAATTATTGAATGAAATGACAAAGTATAACTTTAAAGATAATCACTTCAAGCTTATATTTGGAGAATATAAGCTTGAAGTGATTATTCAACTCATGGAAAAAAACAGCATATTCAGGATCATCGTCATCTTGCTATTATCATTTGCTTTGCAAAAAAATATGTTTCAAGACGAGTCATCTGCTCATCATAAATAGATAGTTTGGTCATTTTTTTTTATTAAAGCAGAGTTTAAGAAAGCGTAAATGGACCAACATTTTTTAACTTGGTTTTTAACATCCTTAAAGTTCTTCAACAGCACTTTTCTGAGACAAGACCTGATGATTATTTATAGTTTTAAAATAATTTATTTCTTTAAAAGTATAATTATTTGGTAATATAAACAAAGCAAAGTAATTGCTATGCACAATTTTTTTTAGTGATTTTAAATCTCATCATGATTTTTTTTTATTTTTAATCTTCTGGCACCCCAAACATCTTGGTGCCCGGGACATATATTTTTACCCCTCCCTCTCGGCGGCCTTGAGCATGGTTTGTTCTAAATTAATTTAAAAATTCTCTAAACTGTACACTTATATACACTAAATAAATTTACGAAAATTAAAAAAAAAAAGTTATTATAGTTTTTATTATAAATTAGTATATTTATTTTTACATAAAATAACTATACCAATTTTTAAATAAAACATCTTATAAATTTATATATTTTATATTTTAAAGAACATAACAAGTATTTAATGAAAATTTGGTGCCTTTGAAGCCTTGGCATCTAGGTGAAAATCACCAATTGTACCCGTCTTCCGCCATGAGTTAAGCTTAAACTATTTTAAGATAAAAAAAAAATTAAATTGCAAAAAAATTATTTCTTCTGCAAACTTTCAAATTTTAAACATTTTTATTAAGTATTGATTTTTAATCATAATTGTTAAAGGCATTTTTAACATTTAATCTTTCATTAAAAGAAGTTAATAATACTATGTTAAACAATTTATAAGAATCTGAACCAACTTCATATTTAGTAAAGTTTTTTTAGCTTTCTTATTACCCAAAAGCTATTAAAAGCTGCAGCAAAACTGTTCCAAGCTGCTCTCTTTATTCTGTTGAGAAGTTTAGTAAACTTGTTATATTGTTGTCTTGATGTATGGCCGACAAAGATACTAGTTAAAACCTTAATCTCAGACATCATCAGGAAAACATCTTGGAGATATTTAAAAGGTGCTTATTCTTTGATAAAAGCAGTGACGAATTGCTTCATAAGGCCTAACTTGATGTGCAGCAAAACTTTCTGAAGTTGTATCAGTGTTCCTGCTTCACATTGCACTTAACCACAGAGAACTTGATCTGCTGCAGTCAGTTTTTTTGTCTTAGCGCACTTTAGTGTCATCTGTCCTAGAGGCAAAGGAAACAAGGAAATATTGTGAAACCATCTTGAAGGCCCAGGGACAACACCACCTTGAAGACTCCAATGATATTCCATCTGTAGTCAGTATACTTAAAGATGCTCAGCACATTTTACAACTTGCTTCCACAAAATACCCTATATATCTTTTCATTATAAATTGTCCGTACATGTAAAAATGCATCCGCTAGGCACAAATTAAATATTTGCCATTCAAATTAAATATTTACTCATCAAAAACAAATTGTTATTTCTTTATTCACTAATAACACTAAAATGTTAGTTTAAGTGTGCTTTTATACTTATATGACTACTGTTTAGACAGTTTAAAAATAGACAGTTTAAAAATACTCCAGAAATTTCTGGAAATTTCTTGAAAGTTCTAGAATATTTTGGAAAATTCTCAGACCATTTTACCAATTCAGAAATATTTTAGACAAAAATACCCAAATGTTGTTGTCCAAGTCAAAAAAGCAACAATTTTGTGAAACAGATGTTTTCTATTTGTTTTTGGCAAATTAGGTTAGGAAAACATTTGCAAGCCATGAAAAAAAAATTTCTTACATAATAATTCAAGAATTATCTTTTTATTTAACATAAAGTAATAAAAAATAAATGGCTTGATCAAAACAAAAATAAATCTTTATTACCTCTTTGTCATGTATACATTCTACTTTTGAAGTTCGAAAAAATGATTCTCCAATGGTCTCACCAATGTTTTTATTTGATTTCATAGGAAGAGTTTCAAACTTTAATAAAGTAGCTCTGCTTATTATGAAACCACTCTGCTCATAACAGTAATATGCTGGAAATTCATTTTTACCAGAAGAAAGAATACTGTGACTTTTTGGCATTGGATATCCAATATAATATTCTGCTGAGCTATTTAAAGAATGCAAGAATTTCAGCATCTCATTAGAGCGAATATATACCTCATCGCTAACTAACATAAACCAACTATAGCTATCAACAAAATGATCTTTCATATATTGCAAAACACGAAATGAAAATTCAATTTTTGTAGACTCTTCATTTATATCTGACAACTGTATAACATTTAAATTAAGTTTTGTATTAAAGTGATTATGAAAGTTTAAATTTTTGGAGTAAACAGTGAAAAAAACTACACGAGGTAAATATGGTAGCCAAGTATTATTTATAGCAATCCCATAAGTCATTAATCTTTCTTCTGTGGTTATAACTGCAACAATAAATTGAAATCGAAATCCTAATTCACTATAAACAAAATATGGACGAAAATCATAATTAAACCGTGTTGACTTGGGTTTCACATAAACAGGCACAGAGTTCAATTGATTTTCTTCTATTGATTTAGATATATGTTTTTGAATAGTAGTTGGTACTTGAATTGAAAACACACATGAATCTTTATATATTGGATTATAAAAAAACGAAATAATACATCCAATAAGTATGCCAATAAAAAATGGTAGGTATTGTTTTAAACGAAAATTCCTTCTCATTGTTATTATTTCAGATTTCATCTTTCCTAAACAAAATTATTGTATAATTTTAGCTTAAAAAATCACTTGAAATTAAAAAAGTTGGTTTGTGTCAATATTTTATTATTTTAACACAATAAAAAATAATTTATTAAATGAAAAATAACTATATCAATAAAAATTAAAGTTGATAAAGACTAAATTATTAACCTTAATTTTATAGTTAACAATTGTTGATAACTAATTTAATTTGAGTTGATAACTAATTTAATTTGATTTATTACTATTATCTACCACTATAACAATTTACAATTTTCCTTAAATTGTAAAATATTCAAATAAGTTTAATTTAATTTTCAAATTTGCAAAATATTTTATTTTTCAGACAAGTTTAATGTTGAATAAAGCATTGATCCAATCAATTTTGTATCATCCAATGTTTAAAACTACAATCTAACTACAGAGTTGGATTTTTACAATAGTGTTGTTAAAATCCTAGAAAACTTGTATATAAAAAATAATAAACATTTAGCGAGGCATCAATTACTCACAAAATAAAACACTTTAAGTGAATCCTAGGATGATTTTTTTCAATAACTTTAAAGATTTTTCTACTGAAACATGAAGAACAAATCTTTATTACTAAGACTATTATTACTAGTTTAAATTACAATCACCAATGCCTTATTGATAATTTTATATTTACAGATTACTATTATATATATTCATTTGAACCCTCCTAACACAATATCATTCCAAAAAATTTTGGTTGTGTTATAATTTATCCTACTTTTTTACATAAATTAATCATAATTCAGTATTTTGTAGGTTTCATGTTTGATAATTGTAAGATAACATAAATAGTGATTCCAGAGCACAACGAAAAACATTTGACGTTTGAAAAAAAATAATTTTCATGAACTTTACACTCTTTTTTTATAATTAAGCTAGAACCTTGATTTTATGCATCAATTAATTTGATTCAACCTCTTTCCAACCATGTGTAGAATGTAGTAAATTTATATGGCTTCACTTATACATTACTCATATTTTGAGACCACTATTGATAAAAAACCTTGCCATGTACACGCTTTTTCAAAAGTAGTTTTTGAAACTAAGATTTCCTAAGCACCAAAACACATCTAATTAGTATGAAACTTTCCATATATATTTAAAAAAGAATGAGCAATCTAATGGAATGTGGACTGTTTTTAACATTCATACAAATTTTTTTTAGTTCTCAGCATTTGAAAACTTCAAGGGTAATTTATAGAGAAAAAACAGTGTTTTTTGAAAGAGTCCATGTAGAAATGGCAATTATAGCCTTTCCTAAATTTAAAACAAATATTTATTTGTTTCCTTGAAAATTTGGTACTTAAGATTTGCATATGGAAATTATGATATAATGTTTTTTTCTCTTTGCGTATTGTTTGTTTTGAAATTTGCATTAGATTTCAGATTATTTTTTTTATTTTATTTTGGTGCCATTTCACAGCTAATTTTTCATACTTAAGGACAAAGTGTTTTGTCAAAAAACTATTAGTTTTTCCAGCGCAAAAAATGCAATAAAACTTTGGATCCACTTAACTTCTAAAGTTGGATGACCCCTTAAATTTTAAGTTTACTGTAGCTATATACAATCATGTTATTTATATATAAAAACGTTGACAAAAAAAAATCCTGTTGAATGGCTAACATAGAGTAAAATTAGTGCAATATCAAGATTTATTGCTGAAGGATAGAATTATTAGTTGTACAATACTATCCTGGTATTATTAATGTAGTTTCTGATGAACTTACACTGAAACTTTTGATGCGCTTTTTACACCACACTTCAAACTAACCTCAGTGAAATCCATAATTGTACATAATCTAAATTTATTTTATCTTTTAGTTACAAACAATATTATCTAGAATCTATAACCAATAGTAAAATAAAATTAAAACAAGTAATAGTAATAAAGATGATAAAAATAATAAAAAACAAAAAAAATAAAATTAAAAAAAAATGTATTTTAAATGAAAAAATGAAAAATCTTAAAATATAATTAAATTAAAATCATCAAATAAAAGCATTTCTAAATGAGATACCAAACTTATTTGATATTTTAACAAATATTACAAATAAATAGTTTATCATTGTTTGTATTTTTTTTCAAATTTTTTGTTACTGTTAATTGTAAAAGCATCACTAACATTAGGAGCAATACTTTTAAATTACTAATTATTAGTATGAGTAATAATAACAATAATAATAATAATAATAATAATAATAATAATAATAATAATAATAATAACAATAATAATAATAATAATAATAATAATAATAATAATAATAATAGCAATAATAGTAATAATAACAATAGCAATAATAACAACAATAATTATTATTGTTGCTATTATTGCTATTATTATTATTGAATATTATTATTGAATAATAACAATAATATTATAATTTTTTTTTATTTTTCAAAAAGCACTAAAATAGAGCATTTTTATTACAGATTATGAAATCAAAAAATCTAAAAATATAAAGCCAATATATTTTTTGACTAATGTAAATTTAACTTTTGATATGTATTTTTAAATGAAAAAATTTCTACAGAAAAAAAGTTAACTAAACTTTTTCATTAATTTCACTCTTACTACCGCGTATATAAAAACAGTAACCGAGAGTTACTTTGTAACTAACTTAAAATTATAATTCCGTTTGCTAAACTGCTGAAATGAAAAAAATATTTCCGGGCTTTGTTTTATTGATATTTTTGATTTAATTTTTTGAATTTATAAGTGAATAAATGAATTTTTTGCCAATTTTTAATAATTCTAATGTAACATAGATATTGTTACATTAGAGTTATGTTTTTCTTTATTCTTACAATTATATTCTTGTTATGTACGCAAATTTCTGTTACAAGGGCAGTACCGGATCAAGGGGAAGAGGGGGGCTATAGCCCCCCAAAAATTTTAGAGAACTTTTTTTTTTTTTTGTCATTTTTAGGCTCTGGCCCATAAAAAGGCCTTTAAAAACAAAAATAGCCCTGGGCCCCAAGAAGTCTTGCACAAGGGGGTTTATTCTATCGCCGCATATAAAAAATATTTACAGAGGCGATTTTACGGGGGTTTGTGTGTAGTGTCGAGTAATTTTAGTCGAGTAAATTTTAGTTTTGAGGACCATTTTTTTTTTTTTTTTAATGTCGAGTAATTTTAGTCGAATAAATTTTATATATTAAAATTTAATATATAAAATTTATCTACAAATAGGTAAAGCGCCCACCAGCGTGGAACTTCGACCAGAGTGTTCCTTTTTTATTGCTGCTTTTTAAACAGTTGGTGTTACCCATGATGCAATGACTTTGATGAAAGTTCAACTGTCCAACTGTTCGCGGTTAGTATATAACACTTACACACATTTTCTTGCTTTTGATAAAATCAAAATGTTTTACTCTAAATATAGCGAGTCCTTTTGCTTAATTGGCACTTGTTTCCTACGTTTGCGGTTGTGTTTGGACATTTCCTAATCTAAGGCATTTTCATTCTGTAAAAATTGCTTTATATAAGGCAACTTAACGTCGGTTGTGTAACAAAGTTTAGATTGCAGAAATAAAATCAATTTCTACAACAAATGTTTCAAATTAAAACCTGTCTATAAAACAATATATAAATAAAATAAAAACTGTTGTACAACATTTTCATAACTATTAGAAATCAAGCCTAAAAAAAATAGTTAATGTTAGTGTAACAAGTGCCATTTTAAAAATAGCTTCAATTTAGTTTAAGGCTAGCTTGAGAGGGTAATCTTATTTTCTTAATTTTTTTTTAAGAAGATATATCCACCAATAAAAACTATATCCATCAACATAAACCATTTCTTTTTCTGTACTGATACAGATAAGCTCTGCTTGAAAGACATTATCATGTCTATTTACACATATTTTATTAGGATGACCGCGACTTTTGCATACAGAACAAGCGATATATCTGGATCCTTTAATTTTAAAAAATCTGCACTTAATTCCTCCAGAGACACTGATAACATATAACTAGAGTAAAGTAGCCTACTAAGGCTGTTGATGGGTACCCGAGCACCCGGGTATCCACCCATTGCTTATAGCCTAGGTAGCATTTTTTACTGACGGATACGTATAAAAAATCTTATTTTCATTTATTATCACAAATAGAAATTTGTGATATAATATAACTTTTGGAAGTTTATTTGATTTTCTTATTCAAATATGTAATGTTATTCAATATTAAGTACAAATTCAATTCAATTCAATATATATTCTGAAATAAGTTGTAAAATTTCAAGGACTTTTACAAATAGTACAAGTACTAATCTAAAGTAAAAACCTGCAACATTACAATAAAAGTGATCATAATAACAATAATAAAAGTATTGATAATAATTATAGAAATAATATTAACAATAACAATAAGATGACGATGAAGAGGAATATTATTAGTAACAATAATAACAATAATAATAAAAATATTATACAATCAATATTAGATAATAGCAATAATAGTGATAATAACAATTATATAGTATAAGTAGTAAATAAACTTTAGAAAAAATAAAAAAAAGCAATAATAATACTTATTATGTTATAAATAAAAATAACAATTTACTAATAAAGATAGAAGAATATTATTAATATCAATACTAACAATAACAATAAAAATATGAGAACAAAAAGTTAGTAATAAAACTATTAGGTATCAAGAGAGTAGTAATAATAAAACCATAACAACATATTTCAGAGGCTTCAGGTATAATGTCTTGCTAAAAAATAGTTAAAAAGGCAGTTTTTGAAGTTAGTAATTGAGTCAATTGATTTTAATGGTGAAGGTAGACTGTTCCATAATTTTACACTTCGGTATTTTATGGATTTTAGACCATATTTTACAGAAGAATAATTTGGTACATGAAGATTATAGCTATTAGCAGATCGTAGATGATAGCGACAGCTTTCTCTAACAGTAAAAAATTTATAAATGTGCTGGGTAGGCATTTTTGTTTATAATTAAATACAAAATGGCAATTTAATAGTTGAACTAGAATCATCAATTTTGAGTATTTTGGATAAAAAATAAAGATGATCGGAGTTAGATTGATAATGCTGAAAATATATTTTTTTTAATGCTTTGTTTTGTAAGTTGGATCTTAAAATAATCTTAAAATTTCTTGGGTGTGGATTTGTCCCCAAACTTGATACGCATCTAAGATGTGATCCAAAAATGGCATGGTATATATTGATAAGAGTTTCAAGATTGACATAATGACGAATTTTAGCTAACATCCCATTCGATCTACATAGTTTTATTGACAAGTCCTTAAGATGTTGAGAAAAACTTAAATTTAAGTCAATTTTGATTCCGATATACTTTAGATACATAACTAGATTGATTCTTTGACCACTCAGCCTAAAATTTAGGTGTTTACTGATTTTAGATTGTTTTGATTTAAAGATGATAATTTCAGTTTTACTAGTATTTAGAGACAGTTTGTTAGATCGAAGTCATTGAATTAGATTAGATAGATCATGATTAATATATTTGTTTATTTTTTTAATTATTTGTTATTTAAAAGAAGTTAGTGTCATCAGCAAAATGGTAAGAAGTTGTATATTTTAATGATAAATTAAGGTCGTTAATGAAAACAAGGAAAAGTAATGGTCCTAATACAGAGCCTTGAGGTACAACTGTAGTGCATTTTACTAAAGAAGATGTGTTACCGTTAATAGATACAAATTGAAACCTATTATAAAGATATGAGGTAAACCATTGCAGAGAAATTCCTCTAATACCATAGTATTCCAGTTTACTTAGAAGAATAGAATGATCAACAGTGTCAAATGCTTTCTGTAGTTCAACAAACACACCACAAGCAAAAAGCTTTTTGTCAAGAGCTTTTCTGATAACCTCAGTGATTTCAATAAGTGCATTAGTTGTGGAATGCTTGCTTCAAAACCCATATTGGTGTTTGTAAAGACATTGATATTTATCTAAAAATTTGTAAAGTCTGTTGTGCATAGCTTTTTCAAATATTTTACTGATGTTTGACAGTAGCGAAATTGGGCGATAGTTAGTGTGGTCAGTTCTTGAGCCTTTTTTATAAAGTGGAATAATTTTAGCTATTTTAAAGACATCTGGAAAAAGTCCATTCTCAAAAGAGCTATTATTCATTGTACAGAGAGGCTTCGAAATGATACGGGGAGAAGAAACGTATGAATACTATTGATAACTAAACTTTTTTTACTTTGTAAACTTTTTATAAGATTTGATACTTCATTTTCAGTGACTGGATCTATCAAAAAGGAGTTAATATTTGAGTTATTTAAATAGTCTGAAAAATTACATTTAGGTGGAACAATTTTTGTTAACAGTGTTTGTTGAGTATTTACAAAGTAATTATTAAATATGTTTGATACAGCTTTGCTGTCTGAAATTGTATTGCCATTAAATTTGAGATTAATAGATTTACTGGAAAAGGAAGAAGGTTTGATATTAATAATTTCTTTTATACCTTTCCAAGTATTTTTTACGTTGTAAAGATTATTGTTAAAAAGTTGATGTAATATGATTTTTTAGAAAGTTTTAGTAAATTGCAAATGTTATTTCTGAAACATTTAAATTTATTAAAAATATAATTTTAATGTAATGATTTTTTGCTTTTATATATTGTTTATATAGTTTGTTTTTAATAGATATTGATTTTAGAATTCCATTGGTGATCCAAGGTTTTGATTTAATTTTAATTAGTTTAGCAGTTAGTTTTTTGTAGGGTTTTTATATTGATTTTAGAATTCCATTGGTGATCCAAGGTTTTGATTTAATTTTAATTTGTTTAGCAGTTAGTTTTTTATAGGGTGCATGTTGATCAAGAATTTTGTTAAAAGTTTTTAAAAAAATAATGCAATGATTCAT